CAGTAGCCACATGTAACTACTAAAACTTAGGTTTTAATTTTAATATTTTTACTTTAAATTTTTTTAAGCTGGGTATAGCAGCACATGCCTGTATTCCCAGCTACTTGAGAGGCTGAGGTAGGAGAATAACTGGAGCCTAAGAGTTCGAGGCTACAGTGAGCTATCAATATGATCATATCACTGGATGCTAGCCTGGGTGACAGAGCAAGACCTTGTCTTGAAATAAAATTTTAATTGTTTTAAATGTAAACTATTTAAACAAAAAATCCACTTCCTTAGTTACACTAACCACATTTTAAATGCTTAGGAGATATTTGGCTAGGGCTACCATATTGGACTAAGCAGGCATAGATACAAGTCTATGACTGCAGAAAATTCTAATTGACAGAGCCAAATGAGATACTGTACTATTATTTCTGTTACAACTTTGATTAGACTATAGGCTTCTTGAGTACAGGGGCTGTGTCTTATTTATCTTTATTTTCTCAGTTTATATAGCAAAATGTCACACACAAAGCACTCACTATACCAATGGTCCCTGAATTACAATCTTCAGTTTTACTGTGGTTCTTATTCAGTAGAAACTATACTTCAAGTATCCATATAACCAGTCTGTCTTTCAATATAATGTTCAATAAATTACATGACATATTTAATACCTTTTTATAAAATAGGCTTTGTGTTAGAGGATTTTTTTTTTTTGAGACAGAGCCCCAAGCTGTCCCCCTGGGGAGAGTGCCATGGCATCACAACTCACAGCAACCTCTAACTCCTGAGCTCAAGTGAGTCTCCTGCCTCCACCTCCCAAGTAGCTGGGACCACAGGCGCCTGCCACAATGCCCGGCTATTTTTTTGGTTGTGGCCTTCATTGTTGTTTGGCGGGCCCGGGCTGAATTCGAACCCGCCACCTTAGGTCTATGTGGCTGGCTGCTTAGCTACTTGAGCCACAGGCGCCGAGCCTGTGTTAGAGGATTTTGCCCAACTATAGGCTAATGTAAGTGTTCTGAGCACATTTAAGGTAGGCTAGGCTAAGCCATTATGTTCCCTTGGATTTGGTGTATTAAATGCATTTTAAACTTACATTCTTTTTGGCTGGGCATGGTAGCTCAAGCCTGAAATCCCAGCACTTGGGAGATCGAGGTGGGTAGATTACTTGACCTCACAGTTTTGAGACCAGCCTGAGCCAGGGCAAGACACCGTCTCTAAAAAAAATAGCTGGTTATTGTAGCAGGCACCTATAGTCCTAGCTACTTGGGAAGCTGAGGCAAAGGGATCACTTGAACCCAAGAGTCTGAGGTTGCTGTGAGCTAAGACGCCACGGCACTCTTCTATGGGTGACCAAGTGAGACTCTGTCTCAAGAATAAATAAATAAATAAATAAATAAACTTACATTGTTTTCAATTTATGATGGGTTTATCACGATGTATCCTATCATAAGTCAAAGAGCATCTGCATGTCTAGCTGCATATCTCAAACATAGGACACCACTCTCTCCACTTCCTCCATCCCATACACAAACACACAGACACTGATGTGCACACACAAAACAGAAGACTGGTGAGAAAGGGGACACTGTGTCCAGAGGAAGAAGGCCTACAGGGGCTAGAAGCTAACTATGTAGCCTTGAGCAAGTGATACACTTTCTTCATATACAAAAAGTTAGAATGAAACTCCATGTACTCCAATTAAAGTTTTAATTCTAAAACTGTAATCATCTTGCACCACAGAAAAGCATGTTATTCTATCCAAAAAGCTTTTGCACATCAGGAAACATACCTGTTAACACTGATGGGTACCTCACACTAAATGAGATCCATTTCTAGGTCTCAGGCTGTCATGATTAGTCATTTTTGGTCTTTAAGCATGTGGAATTTTTCACCTTTACTTTGAAGTCAGCTAGAGACTTAAGCCTTAGGCTTAAAGACTGAGTTTCTTCCATGCACTTAGGCCAGAACTGGATACTCTGTCCATATCTGATCAGAGAAACAAGGGCAAGTTTCTTAGGTATCTGTATTTAACATGAATTGTCCTATTAGTTCCTACATGAGTGTTAGACTAAAACTTGAGCAAAGAGCGTAAAACTGAACCAAGAAAATATTTCTCTAATAATCCTTATACTTTACAGAATATCATTATATAAAATGTGTACTTTTAAATTAAATCTACATACTTTTCCATATTTAACTGCTATAAGAAAAAAAAACTTTATTGTCCAAAAACCTCTTCATAATGACCTTCACACACACTCAACTACTTCTATAAACCTCACACTGTTTTAAGCCAGGCCAAGAACAAATACAATTGGAATTATTGGGCTAACACCTTTAAAACTTGTAAATATGTGGGGCAATAGCAGTTCAGGCATTCTGCAATAAATACACCTGCTAAGTTTATAAATTCCTCTGACATCATAATTTTACTCTTCATTAAGTACTTATGTCATCTCTCCTAGTAAACGGGATCAACTATTACCAATAGCAATTCCATCTACTTGTATTTTCTTTTTTTTTTTTTTTTAAGAGATAGAGTCTCATTTTGTCACCCTCGGTAGAGTGCCATGGTATCACAGCTCACAGCAACCTCCAGCTCTTGGACTTAGGCGATTCTCTTGCCTCAGCCTCCCAAGTAGCTGGAACTACAGGTGCCCATCACAACGCTGGGCTATTTGTTGCAGTTTGGCCGGAGCTGGGTTTGAATCTACCACCCCTGGTATATGGGGCCAGTGCCCAACTCACAGAGCCACAGGCGCCACCCTACTTGTATTTTCTTATTTCTATTTTTTTCTACTTGTATTTTCCAGGTATCAACAATAGCATTTAGTGGATGACAACTAAACACCTTTTCAGATAATGATGTGGGGAACACAAGCAAAGGTCTAAGGGTAATAAAAAGGCTTTTGTTAAAAAATTGACTGTTAAAATCAGACATTAAAAATCAACCCATGTTGACTGCATATGGTCAGACTTATACTAGCAAGAAATCAATGTGCAGAGTGGATAAATTAATGAACCTAACTAGAAGATTCCCAAGCAAAAAAAGAACAAAACTCTATAAGCAAAGAACTACCAAACATTTTTTACAAAATGAAAAATAGAGGGCGGCGCCTGTGGCTCAGTGAGTAGGGCACTGGCCCCATATACTGAGGGTGGCGGGTTCAAACCTGGCCCTGGTGAACTGCAACCAAAAATAGCCGGGAGTTGTGGTGGGCGCCTGTAGTCCCAGCTACTTGGGAGGCTGAGGCAAGAGATCACTTAAGTCCAGGAGTTGAAGGTTGCTGTGAGCTGTGTGACGCCATGATACTCTACCGAGGGCAATAAAGTGAGACTCTGTCTCTACAAAAAAAAAAAAAAAAAAAAGAAAAAGAAAAGAAAAAGGAAAATAGAGAAGAATCTGTTTGCAACATGGTCTATCTGTATCATAAAAAGGACTCAAACATTCCATTCAGTAAAAACTTTGTGAGTCTGTATGTGAAAGCACAGAAAGGAATACAGGGTTCAAGAAAACATTCTCGGTGGCGCCTGTGGCTCAAAGGAGTAGGGCGCCAGCCCCATATACCAGAGGTGGTGGGTTCAAAGCCAGCCCTGGCCAAAAACTGCAAAAAAAAAGAAAACATTCTCTGCCCTCAAGCTGTTCATAATTTAGTAGAAGGAATAGAATTTCAACACAGAATAATAATATAGGGAGTTCCATTATGATGGCGCCAAGAGCAGACAGTAAGGGCCCAAAGTGGGTGGGGATCAGAAATAGAAGCATCTTGAAGAGAATGTTTGAAATTGCAGCCACAGACAGGAAGAAAAAGATAAGCGGATGTGTATGAGAGACAGCATAAGTGTTGTGTTCGGGTGAAATGGCCAGAAAGTGTGGATAGAAAATGACCTATACAGGGGAAGAGCATATGCAAAGAACACCCAAAGTGAGACATACTACACCCATGAGTACTATGTATTCAGGAAAGTTGCAAACCAACAGTTCTCTATGAGATGTATACATTTTAAAAGGCCCAGCTTACTCAGAATTCCTACTTCCCACCAACAGCCTTTCACAAGGTGTACTTAGTGGGCTTATTGAAAAGATCTCTTGCCAGTGGAATGTGCATTTTTAACAAGCTCCTAGACAATTCTCCTGTCGGAGAAACACTGAGACACCTTTAGGGATGCAGGATCATCATGTTACATGCAGTTCCCAAACTTTGCTGCACACTGGAATCACTGGAGCATCTTTAAAAAAAAAAATGTCTGTCTGTCTTTCACCTACCAGACAGACATTCGGATTTAATTGGCCAGGGGTGCTACATGGACACTGGAAATCTTTAAAAGCTCCCAGGTGCTTCTACCAGGCAGTAAAGTTGGAGAGCCACTGACCTAATTGTTAAGAATTTGGACTCAGGAGTGTGTCTGCTTGGGTTCAAATTACCTGCTGTGTGACCTTGGGCAAGTAAGTCACTCAGGGCCTCAGTTGCCTCGTCAGTAAAATGGGGATAATAATCCAAGCTAACAGAGATGTGAAGTTAGACGTGGTGAACGTAATGGCCTGGCACAATGCCTCACGGATAATAAGCGCTTCATGGGGGTTAGCTGTTTATGCTCATCATTAACTCTTCCTCATCTGAGTGTCACTGTGCAATGGGCAGCATCATCCCCACTGGGCGGCAGCAACTCGCCCAACCTTTCTGCTGGACCAAATTCTTCTCCGGAGTTGTCTTGTTCAGCTCCAGACCCGCCCCCTCCCCCAGGTTGCCAAGAAAGAGCTTTGCCCGGCCCAAGCAGCTCCCAAGGAATAGACCGGATTTGCACAGACTCGACAGAAGCCGCCGACTCCAGAGCCAAGCGTCCCCCGCCCCGGTGGGTCCCGCAAAATTCAAGGATGCGCTTCCAAAGACCGGGCCCCAGGATCACCCCGAGCACAGAAACAAGCCTCAGCCGTCCCGGAACCGCCCGAAGGGGAGGAGGGAAAAGGGGAGGGGAGGGTCCGGCCACGGGAGGGCCAGCCGCCCAGTTACCTGAGGCGACGGGCGGGGCCCGCATCGCTGGGGCGGGCGCCACCGCTGCCGCCGCCGGCCGCACTTGGCCTTCGGCCTCACGCGACCCGCGCCATAGGGCCGGCGCTTTCACCGTCCGGGCCGGCCGTCCTCAGGCGGTCGGTCTGTCCACCCGTCAGCGACTGTCCCAGGGCGCCGGGGGATGACGAAGGCCAGTCGGGCCGGCCGGCTGAGATCCACTCAAGCAACTTCCGACTGCCAGGGGCGGCGGCGTCAAATAACTCCCCAGCCAAGTGGGCCACTGCGCGTGCGCGGTGCGCCTGATCAGCGACTTCCCAGAGCCGCACAGGTGGCGTCAAATAATTCCCAAGACATAGAGCCGGAAGCTGCGCGTGCGCAGCTATCCCAGATCGCCGCGCGGGCCGCATTCCTTCTTTCCTTTCCGGACCAAATGGAGAGGGAGGAGTAAAATGACGGAGGCGCCTACCTCATCGCAGCACGGGGGAGGCACTCCACCTGCGTCCCGATGAATGTTATGACAAGCCAAACTCTACCTGCTTTCACTGCGTTCGTAGTGAGGGACTTCTCTGCAAGAATCTGGCTACCACCCAGGTTTTAGGAATTTTTCACATCCCTCAATTACAGTATCTTTACTTTGAAATGATGCTCTCTATCCTTATTACATGGGCACAGCATTAATTATGAGCAATGCTCTATGCCAGGCCTGGTGTAGGTTACAAAGATGAATCAGACATATAATTCAGAGGCTCGCATTAAGAATGAGTCTGATGAAGGAGATAAGACATTAATAATAATAGCAAAAGTTACTAGTTTGAGCACCTGCAATGCCCCAGACATTTTGTAAACAATACAACTTTCAATAATTTGATTATCATGTATCTTGGGAAGAAACTTGGGCTGAGAGAGAAGAGGAGGGAGGTATGGTGGAGTTCTTCACCGAGGACTTATCCTTGAGATTGACCTTGGATATTTAGAGGAGGAGGAACAGGGTGTTGAGAAGTGCTAAAGGCAGGCTGTCTGAAAAGAGCAGAAGAAAGCAAGGAAGATGCTGACTCCTCACTCTCAGAAGAGACCATGGAGATAGGTGTAAAAAGGGAACGGATATCTTCACAGAAAGGATAAAACAGAGGAGTGGTTCCTTAAGCAATCCTCCTCCCTCAGCCTCCCAAGTGGGGACTACAGGCAAATGCCACCATGCCTGGCTAAATTTTACTTTTTTTTTCTTTTTTTTTTTTTTGTAGTGACTGGTACCTTGCTCAGGCTGAACTCAGACTCCTGCGTCTTATTAGCCAGAATTTTCTACCTTGAAATTTTGTAAGTCTTTCTCCAGTGATTGGGACTGGCCAGGGATAGCAGTGTCATCCAGGCAGGGCAACCCAGGCCCAGACCAAGTCCATCCCCTGTGTGTCCCATTTGCCATTTCTCTTCAGGGTGCTCTCTCACTCCTTTAGTCCTGTCCATCTCTCACATATATAGGGGATTGACCAGATGCCCTGAGGAACTCCAGGACTCCAATTCATGAAGTCATTACAGACAGATCTTGTTCAAAGAAGGCAGCCTGGCAAGCAGCTCATTCCTACTGGCTGGTACAATATTTCCCTCACCATAGTATATGAGATTAGGCTGTCAAAAATGGTGACATGCTGATTTGGGGTGATTCTCACAGTGGACACAGTCCACTGCAAATGCTACTTGTTTGGGTCCATGTCTTAGCTCGTACCTCTGTGTTCAGACTGAAGTGATACCTCTGTCTTAATGTAGCCAGGGTGATGTTTAGGAGGGGGTGTGTGGTGGCACACATACTTTAGTTGTGCATCCCCTTTCTCCACTGGTCCCAGGGTGGTCACCTCATCCCCTCTGGCATACTCCCTATCACTTCCCAGTCTGTCCTCCAGGATGGGACATGCCTATCTTCTAGTCTGCTCAGATTGCTATAACAAAATATCACAGATGAGGTGGCTTAACCAACAGACATTTATTTCTCACAATTCTGAAGACTGACCAGTCTTAAGATCAAGGTGCTGGCCCACCTGGTTCCTGGTAAGAGTCCTCTTCCCAGCTTGTCTTCTTGCCATCATCACATGGTGGAAAGAGAAAGCTCTGATATCTGTCTCTTCTTATAGAGACTAACCCATCATGGGGGCTCCACCCTCATGACCTCATACAAATCTACTTCCCAAAGCCCCACTTCCTAATACCATCACATTGAGAGTTGGGACTCCAACATGCGAATTGTTGGGGTTGGGGTACGCACGCATACACATTCAATTCATAATATCCTCTGAGGGCTTTTCAAATGTTGTTCCACAACATCATATGCACTTCCCATTAATTTGCTTTCATGCCTCCACTCGAAGAGATGACATCATTCTGTCGTTGGTATGAAGCCATGGAGAATAAGAGATGGAAGTACCTTACATGAATTAGACCGCTCTTCTCAGTCTGTTCACAGGCCCCTTGCTGTGCTTCCCACTGTGGCATGTGGAAGGTGGGGATACAGTCAATATCAAAAGTGACTATATTCAAGAAATGCAGTGATTTTGGCCAAAAGAGGTCAAAACATGATTGGAAGAGGTGGTATTCTACATTTATGAAATGAAATTACAAATGCTCAGTTTAACATGATGAGAAGATAGCTTATTATCCACATTTTCCTACATAATCTAGGTAAGACTAATATTTATAGTTCTTATCAGTGAGGCACAATCTCTGAGAACAAGTTATCCACCTATGGGTGATATAAAACCATATATCTGACAACCCAAAATAAGTGACTGAGGCCAAGATCTTAATCAGTGGAGGTTTACTAAGCTAAAGTTTGAAGGTGAAGCCAAGAAAAGTACAACCCACAGAAATATCTTCTGGGGCATCCAGAAACAAAAAGCCCAGGCTCAGTAACTCAGGCCTATAGTCTTAGCACTTTGGGAGGCTGAAGTGGGAGGATGGCCTGAACCCAGGAGTCTGAGCAACATAGCAATACCCTACCTCTAGAAAAAAATTGACCAGGTTTAGTGGAGCATACCTGTTTCCTTGTCTCAAAAAACAAAACACACAAAAAACCCACCACATTACCACCAACCATAAAAACAGTCAAGATCATGAAAAACAAAGTAAAGACTAGGAAACTGTCCCAAATTGGAAGAGATTAAGGAGACACAATGATTAAATGTAATATTCTGGTTGAGGTCCTGGCAAAGAAAATGGACATCAGTGGGAAAACTGATGAAATCCAGAGATAATCTGTTGTTCAGTGAATGGTAAGGTTATTGACGTTGATTTCCTAGTTTCGACAAATGTACCCTGGTTACGTATGATGCTATATGAGGGGAAGCTGGGTGAAGGGCAATATGCGGACTCTCTCTACTAGGTTTTAAATTTTTCTGTAAATCTAAACTTATTCCAAAATAATTTTATATTTACAGAATCATTACTTGTATAGTTCAAAACTTCTAATAAAATTAAGGGAAAAAATGAAGGAGGCGAGTCTGACTCCACTTATCTAGAAACTTCTACTTTGAGGCCTTCAACCCCGAAGTCTCCAAGTCAAGGGAAAAAACACAAACCTTGGCCATCTTCTTGGCATGGTGCAGAAGCATCTTCAATAAGTAACAAGAGAAATCAATAATTTAACAATGGATCAGGCCATCCACTACACCAAGAGCTTCGATACATCAGTCAATGTAATCTTCACCACATCCCTGTAAAGGAGATAACTGAGATGCAGGGAGGTTGAAACTTGCCACCCAGTTCACTATCTGGGTTAAACCTTATCTGTGTGATTCTGACACCAGTACTCTGACACCGCTCCAGGCTGCACACCATGCACATTGGCCAGCATCGCACTCCTCCCCACATCCTCCATGCTGCTCTTGTGTGTGAACCACTTTCCTTTTCTTTTTTGAGACAAGAGTCTTAAGCTATTGCCCTGGGTAGAATGCCGTGACATCATAGCTCACAGCAGGCTTAAGTGATCCTCTTGCCTCAGTTTTTCTATTTTCAGTAGAGACGGGGGTCTCACTTTTGCTCAGGCTGGTCTTGAACTTGTGAGCTCAAGCACTCCACCTGCCTCTGCCTCCCAGAGTGCTAGGATTACAGGCATGAGCCACTGCACCTGGCCATGGATCACTCTCCTCTTTGCTCAGTTAACTCTACTTCCTTGACTCCCCAGAGGCCAAGTATTCCTCTTTAATCTTGCAGCACCTCTCACTCTTCCTCTGGAGCATGTCTCATGGTTTTTAACGATTATTTGTAGATATGAGTCCCTGTAAGTAACTTCTTTATTTTGACTGTGAGCAAACAAATGTCTGTGTTTACCAGTGTGTGTTTCTAGTGCTTAGCATAGAAAGTAACACTTAGTAGATGCGCAATAAACAAGTATTGACTGACTGAATGAACAAACTTTGGGCACACTCAGGTTAACCTGAGTAGGGAGGGCTCGCACAAGAGAAACATACCCAGGACTTGGTGCCCTGTGTCCAGAAGGCACTGGAATGTAATATGGGATTCCATCAGGCATACTCCATATATTCCTGGCCCTGCTTTACCAGGATGGGGAAGAAGGGTTACTAGAGAATGGGAGACCCAGGCTGGAGCAGCTTCTTTTATGCCCTTACAAGATGCAGCAGCCTTCCTGTAAAAGGAAGTATCCTCAAACACCTCGTGGTCTAAATGTATGATGTCTAATAAGGTAGACTAGTCACACATGAGCACTCTAAATGTGTCTAGTCTAAACTGAGACAGGCCGTGAGTATAGAATATACACCAGATACCCAAGACTTAGTTTGGGGGAAAAAACCTTAATTAAGGCTTAATATTGACTACATGTTGAAATGAAAATATTCTTTGATATAGTGCATTAAACAAAATATATTACCCAAATTTATTTTCCCTGATTCTTTTCATTTCTTTAATGTGGCAACTAGGAGATTTTTTAATTATATAGTTATGTTTTCATTGGATAGCATTGTACCATAAGCCGCATGAGACTGGTCATCTTGTTTGGGGGTTTTCTTTACTGTTTTTTCTTTAACAGATGAAGTTTTGCTCTGTCAACAAGGCTGGAGTGCAGTGACATCATCATAGCTCACTGCAACCTCGTACTCCTGGGCTTAAGTGATCCTCCTGCCTTTGCCTCCAGAGTAGCTGGGGCTACAGGCACGTGCTGCCACACCCAGCTAATTTAAAAAAAAAAAAAGAAAACTTTTTTTTTTCTTTGTAGGGACAGGGTCTCACCTTGTTGTCCAGGCTGGTCTCAAACTCTAGGCCTCAAGTGA